TATCAAATTAAGAAGTGACTCTTTGGTAGGTTTCAAAATGGCTTTCTATTAGTAAATTAGATTTGTTTCTGCTAGCAGTTGTGGACCACCCTCTAAATTAAGCTAGCACTTTTAACTTTTACCTTTAGTCCGTTCCCACAAATCATGCAGCAGCAGTCTTAATTACACAGATGGTTTCAAAGGAGAGCTGAGAAGCTTACAATCCACTTCAGGTGAACAGAGAGCTACATCCAAGCACATACTCCATCCATTGCACTTACTGGATATACACCAACAACCAAACTACTCCAGACTACTGGCTGCTCTTCCAGCCTCCTGCGCTCCCTCCCTCCCTCCCTACTGCATACACTTCCTCTTCATCCTGCACTCATGTGCACAGGTACTTCAAATGTGAGGAGACAGCTGACAGCCAAGTTCTGAGTTTATTCTAAAGCTAAACTAGCAAGCTCTCAACTAAACATTAATATTCCTTGTACTTTAAGTGTTTTCTCTTGTGAACCCAATATTCAACTCAATAGCATTTGGGAAAAAAGAAATGAAAAAGGCAAAAAAAAGGGGGGGCTTACTTACCTACCCAACAAAGTCAATAATCATAAATGCCTCCTTTAATATAACATCCCCAATATGCCTGAGTAATTAGCAACACAAATTATTTTGTATGTGTGCGCCAGGCCTTGAACTCAGGCTTAGCTTTATCATTCTACCATTTGAGCCTCAGCTCCACTTCCAGCTTTTTGTTGGTTAGAAAGGAGTTTCAAAGACTTTTCTGCCCAGGCTAATTTTAAACCATGATCCTCAGATCTCACTCTTCTGAGTAACTACAGTTACATGCATGAATCACCAGCACTTGGCACAAATTATTTTTGATATGCTACCTTGTGATATCTGACAATTAAGTTATTAAATAACAAATAAATCATTTATGTATTCAGGGAAGGAGCCCAGAGCAAACACTGATATGGAGTAAGCAAACCCACTTTCAAGAAGCCTTAGAAATGTAAACACTTTGAAAAGGCAATTTCATTTCACATGATCTACCCCAAAGAAATCATTCAAGATGTGTGCACAGACTTAGTTTTAAGAATACTTAATGCCAAGTTGCTCACAATGACAAAACCTGACAAATAATATAAATATTCCAGAACAGTAAACTAGTTAATTAATCCACAGGATCTGTTATACTGAAATACTGTCAAGTCATTAAGTTATATTGAGTATATATTTACTTGAATGGAAAATTGTTTGCAACACAGTAAGTAGGAAAAATATAAAACAATAGATACTGCTACTTTTAAATTATCTTCATACACACATGCATACAGACACACACACACACACACACACACACACATACACACACACACATTTGAAAAAGCCAGCTTTGCCAGAAGATGCATTTTTATTTTCTTTTGCTTGTGTTTTGCTATAATGCTTTATTATTAATATTAATAAATCTAGCTTAAAAAGTAAAAAAACAGGGCTAGTTCACACTTATAATCTTAGCTATTCAGGAGGTAGGGATCCAGAGAATCTCAGCAAGCTTGTGTAAAAAGTTTGTAAGATACCATCTCAAACAACAGTGGAACATGAGAGTACATGCCTATTGTACATCCCCACTACAATGGAAAATATGGATAGAAATACAGTGTGCTAGGCCATCCTGGCCAAAAACATAAGACCCTAACTCAAAAAAAAAAAAAAGACCAAAATGACTAGAGACAAGACTTAAGTGGTAAAGCACATGCTGAGATTCTGAGTTCAAACCCTAGTACCACCAAAAAAGATCATAAAATTGGAGTATTAAACAAGTAGTTAATATTATACAGAACCCCCAAACGAAGGAAATTTAGCTCCAAAGCTGCTGGCAGTTTATAATCTATAGTAAAGAAAGTCAGTTAGATTACCTGATGAGGAAAAATACATTAATTCTTCACAAGAGAAAGTACCCTGAGAACGTAGGACCAGAAAGAAGTGTTTTCTATACAAAAGAATAACTTGTATTTTCTATTAATATCATAAAAAATTTTATATTTATTGACCCTTAAAAGAAAGGCCATGGAATTATTATAATCCAATTAATGAAAGGATGTCTTTCCTAAGACTGGAACTCTAAAAGCCTAGAGGCAATAGGTCAGTTTCATTATTATGCCTCAGTTATGTGTACATGCTGAGCACTCATGGCCCAGAAAAGGTACTTACTCAGTGTTGGATTCTTTCCCTCCCACCTATCCTACTAAATGTAAATTGTGTCAACAACCACACCTGCTGGAGACAAAGGTGAAAATCCAATTCACTCAAGAAACATTTGCTTAGCACCTCTAGCATGCCAGACACCATGAAAACACACAAAGCTCATTATCTGGAAATGAGAAAATGAAAAAATGATTGAGCAAACTTCAGCCAGCTTAGCTAACTGTATATCATAAACTTAATAACATCCTAGTTAACATCTTTAATAGGCCCCCAAGGGAATCCCATCAGCCTACCAACAATATTATTAAAAACATGAATATTTTATAAACTTTCAAATAAGCACAACATATTTCCCTTCAAAGTTAATAAATAATGATCTTCCATGTGGCAACTATAAATCTCTCCACCTAGTGTTTTAAACATACAGGTATGCTAAAAAAATAAGTAAATCACAAACAAAGCTTAATATTTTTCAGGAAATTACATTGTCCCTTTCTGGTAATGAATTACGTTGGATTTTCCTGTGCAAATACTACTGTTCAGAGCAGACGTGGTGGCCCATGATTCTAAGTCCAGCTACATGAGGGTCACAGACTACAAAGGATTGCAATTCAAAGACCAGCCTGACAAAACTGGCAAGACTCCATCTCAATTAATATAGCTATGCATGACAGACCATGACTGAAATCCAAGCTACATAGATGATCTAGGTCTGAGACAGGCCCTGGGCAAAAACACAAAACCCTAAATGAAATAATGTAAAAAGGACTGAGGACATGACCAAAAGCTAGACTTCCTGTCTAACAAACCTAAGACCCTAAGTTCAAACCCTACTACCACTGAAAAAGAAAAGAAATTTTGCTTCTAATTATTAGATATTTATTTAGGCTGCAAAATAATATATACATTTTTGTTAAAAAGAACCTAAATGACTAGTCTGTCGTTAATATTAAAAAAAAAAAAGACAGGGAGCCAGACTAAAAGAATAGACTACCAAAAGAAAAACTGATTCAGTATTGGGGTGAAGAAAAGACAGTGAATTATACTTTTTTGAGAGGAGGCAGAAGAGAAAGGGAATGGAAACTTACTATACAGCTCAGGCTCACCTTGAAGTTGTGATCCACCTACCTCAGAATCCCTTTACAACTTTGTGAGAGGTAGGGGGAGAATGGGGGGGGGGAATGGGAAGGGATGGGAAAGGGAAATAAAAAGGAGGCAACAATGCTTGTACTTGTGGGGCTGGGAAGGTGGCTCAGTGGTAGAGCACTTGCCTTGCATGCATGAGGCCCTGGGTTCGATTCCTTAGCACCACATAAGCAAAAAGAAAAAAGCCGGAAGTGGTGTTGTGGCTCAAGAGGTAGAGTGCTAGCCTTGAGCTGAAGAGCTGAGGGACAGTGCCCAGGCCCAGAGTTCAGGCCCCACGACCAGACCCAAAAAAAAAAAAAGAAATGTACTATTTATCTTGCCCATGTAATTGTAACTCCTCTGTACGGTATTCTCACAATAAAAAGAGAGAGGGAGGGAGGGAGGGAGGGAGGGAGGAAGGAAGGAAGGAAGGAAGGAAGGAAGGAAGGAAGGCATCCCAAAGACTGCGATAAAAGCCATGCACCACTATATACAGCTATAAAAACATTTTTCTTTTTCCGTTTACGTATGGATGTGTGTACATGTGTGTGTGTGAGCGCGCACTTGTGCATGCGCATGTGCACAACTGAGGATGAACTCAGGGCCTTGCATACTCATTGGGATTTTTTTGCCTTGCTACAAAAACATTTTTAAAAGCTCAAAACCAACTAAACTTTTAAACTCAGAGAAATGGTGAAAGCTAACCAATGGAAGAGACTTCATAATGAGACAGGCTGCTACTGGTCTTCAGAACTGAGACTCTTTAACAGAATTAGATAATAAAATATAACACTAATTTTACCCCAGATTTCTTTATAAAAGGACTTAATTAGTTAAATTTCACTCCCATTCACGTAGGCTGACATGTGAAAGTAGTTGAAAATAACTCTGAGAATCTTTCCATTGAAAGGAAGCACAATTGTTCCCTACTACGTCCATTTTTCCTCTCCATTTGCCTATCTTAATTTTAATGCTATTTTTAAACTATATGTATATGATTAAGGACTTCCTTCAAAATATTGTTACAATATGAAGCAAATACACTGCCAACATGCCTAGCCTCTCTCTTCTCATTTCCAAAACACGCCAGTCACAGCCCTCTACCTACAGGCTCTACTTGCTCACCTCCCTTCCAAGGCCACGGCTCCTACACAAGTGCATCCCTCCTTAATTAGCCTCCCTTACTTTTAATCAACCTTCCCTTGTAAAAGTAGATGACACTTCCATTTTGCAGTCGTTTATCCTTTTTTTACACACTGTACCCCATCAACAAGACCTACTTCTAAAACAGCCCAGATGGACTTATTTGGACATCTCACCTATTGGGTTCAATAGCTGTTACAGACACTGACAGAAACAGTATATGAACACATAGAAAGACTGGAAAAAGATGATTGCTGAGGAATCTTTGCAATTGCAAAGAGAATTTAGATCAGTGAAAGAAGAGGAAAATAAGCTACAGGGTAGAATTGATTTAGACGCAACCATATTACAATCTCAGCACTCTTACATTTGTGTGACTGAGTTTTTGGTTTTCCTATGAAGAAAATAATATGGGAGAAAAGAAATAGCTTTTCAGCAACTTACTTGTTTTTGTTTTCTAGCATCATCCAATGGTAGGTGCACAAAGAAAGGAAATATCGATTTTAAACCTAAGGAAGATATATGTACATATTACATACCGTACAGAGGTCTTTATATTGCAGCTTTTGGAATTTTGTGTCCGTGTTTCCTGCACATAGTTCCACATAACCAAGGACAACTTGAAATACGGTATTGTGAATGGCTTGAGTAAAGTGCATATGAAGTTGATCCATTGCAGTCTGTGGAAAGAAAAACCATACAAGTTAACTTCATGTTCCTAAAATAAATTTCAACAGATTGGAAAACACAGAGAAAAGAATCTTTACCGATCATAATTATAGCACTAAGATCAGTTCTATTCCCAGAGTTAACTGTTACTTTGCTGACTATCTACAAATAATCTTCACATAAGCAGGACATCATAGCATACAAGGAAGTCTGTGGACTGTGAACACTATTCTGTTGCTCTGTATTTATAACTGCTATTCATCCTGCCCTTCTCAGGGGTTCATGCATAAACATATCTCTGGAGCCCCTCCAGCATTAAGTATTCACTCCCTTACAGAATTCAAGATATACTTTCATAGTTGACTTCTCCATATAAAGCAGTACTTCCAATCACTTACCCTAATTTATAGTTCTGGATGGCACTTGTTACCACATGACAGTATCTTTGCTTGTTTCTTTAAGGTCTGTATCCCTCACTAGAATAAAATATACTTGAAAGTCAATATTCAGGGGCCTGAGGTAATCTATCTAGTAGATACCAAAGGGTTTAATGAATATAAAGGACTTTTCCAGCTTTTTAAAGAAGTATTATCTTTAAGTAGTTTTACAAGGGGTTTCATCATGTCAGCTTTTGAGTTCAATGTATGTTAGTCAACATCATCTCTTTCATCATCAATATCATCTCCCCATCTCTCCCAACCCCACCCATCCCCTAAGGGATACCTGGCTCTATTTCCATATTGTACATTGTACGTTCTTCATTTTCACATGCACATTGATAATGACTGTCTTGCCCACTTTTCCTCTCTTCATTTGCCTGCTACTCCTCTCACTGCCCTCCCCAGCCCCACTCCCACTCTTGACAACTCATGTTCTAGCTTCCTGGTATTTTCTTTATTAAACTGTAAGTTCATTGATCGTAAGAGTTAATGAAAAGCAATCTTAGGAACAAATTAGAAATCACAATCCAAAACTGGCAGTGTCTTTGTTCTTGCAGATTTTTTTCTAGGCAATGCTTAAGAAAGTAGTGAGACATAGCAACTCACACATTAAACCATAAACAGAATTTAAGTAGTCTGAAAAAGCCTTAAATTTCTTTCTAAACGAGAGGACCATTTAAGAGGCAAAATGCATACATAGATAGATGTATAATCCTGTACACATAGAAGATATGATTAACTTTTAAACCATGGGCCTTACTTCAAGTTTTCAAGGACACTCTTGGCTATTAAGAGAAGTAAAAAGCATATGTTAGGAAGGAAATTATAACATTTGGGAGAATAACAATCCTTGGAGAAATCCAACAAATGCACTAGACCTGTTTTGTAGGCAAATGGAAACACTGCATAAAAGTTTACATACCATTTTGAGGTAGTCAAAGTACCTATAAGAAGGTATGTTGGCAGAAAAGGTCAGATAAGTTGATGTTAGGGAAATGAACCTTAAGATATGTATTCAAATGTTTTTTTCTTTCATGTGATTGTTTCTAACATATTTATAAGATTATTTCTTTATTGCTTTGTATGTCCCTCCCCCCACAGTATAACCCCTGCTTTCACTGTATTTGATGTCGGTATAATTTGTGGAGGGGAAAGGAAAAAACAAATTATTTAAATAGGGATACAGGTGGACCCGTTGCAACAATGAGATGTACAAGTCGTTATGTCAAAAAACGAACTTTATAACTTTGGTGAGGGGTAGGGGGAGAGAGAAGGTGGGTTCAGTGGGTGGAGGGGGCGGGGAGAGGATGGAAAGGGAAAACAAAGGAGGAGGCTACAATGCTTGATAAGAAATGTACTCATTATCTTGCCCATGTAATTGTAACTCCTCTGTACAGTATTTTCACAAGTAAAAAAAAAAAAAAAAAGAAGGTATGTTGTAGAATCGAAAACAGAGGAAAAAGAGACTAGATACCATCTCTCGTTGAATTATTTTGCAATATACCCTGCGTGTATGTGTGTATGCATCTGTGTGTGTATCCCCCATCTGGTTTGATTTTAGTTTTGATTTTAGTTTTTTGAAATATGTTCTTACTGTATAGCCAGGCTAGACTTAAATCCATAATTCTCTGACAGCTTCCAACTCTAACACACCTTTTTTTAAAAAAAAACCTGTACAAAACTATGAAAATATTAAACATGGAAAACACTTTATTCAAAAAAATATATGCAGCATTTTAATCACACTACATACACCTAAAGAGATGGAGAGGCTCTTTTCTGCCAGGGGCCATTTTAATATTTGTAACATTATTTGCAGACCTAGAGTCATTCAAATTCACGCCCCAACTGAGGTTGTCTTAGCAGGACCACATCGACAGATTTCTGACCACATGTTCCCATCCTTAAAACAACCATGTCACCACTGTTAGTAAGCATACTCTGTGAAGTGAAAGTTGAGGCTACTACATTACTATTATATAGTCTTAAATAAGCATGAAAGTCAATAGGAGAACATCTTTTTAACACTAACCTGTGTTTTTCCAAGAAGTCGATAAGCTTGTTGAACCTTGGTATAATGATTAATATCAAAATTCTTGCAGATTTTTGAAAGTGCAACATCTAATTGTTCCTTACAATTAAAAGAGAAAGAAATGACTTAAAAATTGAGTTTTCAAGGCAATGAAAATATTAAGACCACTCTCACAGTAATTAATATCTATTTAGTATCACACTGAATTAGAAAGTCAAAACTAAGTACAAATATTAAAATTATAATTTCTTAATTATCACACCAAGTTTACTAAAATAATGTGAATATAAATGTTTCAGTATTGAAAACCTTGGACTTTAAGGAAAACAAGTATGAGTTTTTTTTTAATTTTGTGTTTTTTTCTACAGTTCATATTTCCTCAAATATCTGCTAAAATCTTATAACAATATGAATGAATTTGTGAGGCTATTTTTTAAAAACTTTCTGTAATCACTGACGTAATTTTAAATAAAACAGTGCCTTCAAAAGCATACACCTCTAGATTTAGATGTTTATATCTAAATAAGTGAACTTTATCTTTATTGTAATGATTCAATTTTTAAATGCTGATTTTCTACAAAGTATATAAACATATACTATATGTAAGTATATAGAATTCTATTCTACTAGATATATTTTATATATGAATCTATAGAATAATATTTTCTATTACAGAGTGAAAAAATACTAAGCTCTTGATAGAAAGCCCTCATTAAATGTATTCAGGCAAGGGTTTACTTGCAAGATTCAAAGCAGCTGTTTTTTGTGATTATCAAATATTTCAATTATACAATTAACAAATAACTGCATTTACAATCAAAGAACATTTTCACAAAAGGTCATTTCACAAAAGGTACTTTTATAAGTATACCCTTACTATTAAAACAATAAAACAAAATATCAGAAGAAATTTTATTAACTTTGTTAAAATGAATGCTCTACTGGCAAAGATTGACAAGAGATGAATCTACATATAAGTAGAAGAAAAGGCAAGTTTTCATGCTCATACTACATACCATTCTTGCCAGTTTTCTACCATTTTGATCAACTATATGAGATATTACTAGTAGTTTAAAAAATTAAGAGTATTTTTCATCAGTCAAAAATTACTCTTAAGTAAATTAACTGACTAAAGATTTTTTTCTACAAATAGTGGTATTTTTATGTACTGTTTTGAGGTCCCATAATTCCAAAAGCATCATTAAACTTACAAGGATATTAACACTATTTGACAATTCATGGATATTCCAAAGCAAAAACAACAGCTTAAGTATAGTGATCTAAAAACACTGATAACATGAAGTCAAAATATAATGATGCACTGTGATATTCAAAAGCCTCTACAAAGGAAAAATCATTTACCAATGATAAAACCCTTCTTACCTCAATTTGTTCCAAAGTGTCTTGCAGCTTTGAATTCAACTCACTATTAAATAAAAGAGTTAGATATATCATCATTAAAAGAGACAAGCAAAACAGAGTTACATATATTATCTTTAAAAGAGACAAGCTAAGGGTGATCAAAATGTTAGCCAAATAAATAAACAAATGCCAGTTGTATACTGCATGAAAAGAATTAGGAAAGGAGGAAGGGAGCAAGGCAGGGAGGGAAATAAAAAGGGAAGGAAGAAGGGGAGAGGTAGGAAGAGAGCTACTGTAGAAACAATAAGACTATGAGTAGAAAATCCTAAAGAATCTACAGACGAAAGGAACCACTTAAATTAAAACTAATAGCAATGTTAAAGACTGAAATGCATAGTTTAAATAAAAACTAAATTTCAAAATTCATGAAGTTAATGTCTATACTGAAGAAGCAAGGAATCAGAAGATGAAAATTCTTATGTACTACTTTTAAAAATCAAATATGTGCAAACAAGTCTACTAAAAAGCTACACAACATAACACCAAGCTAAAATAAGTCAGACTTAAATACATAGAGGGATATACCATGTTCACAGAGTGCAATCTTCAGTAGAGTTCCCATCAAAATGATCTAGAGTAACTGAAATTCTAATCAAAATCCAAGTAAGCTTTTTTCTTGGTAGAAACTAAAAAGCACATTCTTAAATGTATGTGGCAATTTGAAAGGCAAAGAATAAACAAGAAAATCTTGAGGAACAATGTTAAATTATTAAGCTAAAATTAGGCAAAGGCTTACTATAAAGTATCAGTCCTAAGAACACATAAACACATCAACAGGACAAAATAAAAATAAAGGGCGCGTGGCTTGAACATATATAGATAGGAATATCCAAATGACAATAAACCCACAATATACAGACACGAGTCCATCAGTCATCTGGAAAAAGTGGCTACAAAACCACTGTAATCAACAAGCAGAACAGCCCAATATATTTGTAAAAGACCAGAAATAACATCAGTTAATGGAATGAAACACTGATTCAATGCTAGAGAACATTTATGCAACCTCTTTGGAAAACTATGAAATTCCACACTGATCATAGCTCAGCAGCTCTACTTCTGAATACATATCTGAAATTACATGATCCTTGCAGCATTATTTTGCAATAAGCAAATATGTAAAACTGATGTTGAATTATTATATGCTGTTACTAAAAATATTAGTGAGATTTAACAAAATAAATCCAACGAAAATATTTTAACAAAAAAACTGACTTTAAAAAAACGGACTTAAGTTGTGTATAAAATAGATATAGTGAAAAATGAGTTGAACACGGGCAGGGCGGGGGAGGCGGTAGACTGCAACTGTTGCCTACCAATTATGAATTGACTCTCAAATTCCTAACAAAGAGGAACACAGTACACAATTCAGTGTCCACAATATCAAAACACACCAGCAGGTAAGCAACAAAACAAAACAAAGGAAAATAAACCCTTCTACTGACATAAAGTTCTAAGAAAAATTTCTGCATGTCTTGATAAAGGAGAATTTATATCTTCACAAAGGCTCAAGAGCCTTGTCAATACAACAGCATACATGAACATGATTCCTTTATTGCTTCTTACTGAGCCTTTCAATGTACACTGAGGTCATAACACAGAGAGAGGTAGACACAGAGAACGGGCAATTGCATTCCATAGCAAAATCTGAGCAAGAGCACGATTATATTGTTTGACAAGCAACAGAATCCTAATGACACCTTGTTAGAAAAGTTAAGATCTCCAATCAGAAATTATACCTGATATATGGCTAAATACACATATATAGGTTAACGGAATGCTTACAGCAAGACTGAGGTTTTCCTTTAAAATGACTGATTCTAGGAAAATTCCTGCCCCCGCCAACCAATGAATGAATAAGAGCTACAGACTCTAAAATAGTTCCTCTGAAAGGATAACCATAATAGTGTCTTTGCACTTGGAATTAAGCCTCACCTCACACCCACTCAGAAAAAAAAAATGAATGAATGTATGGAGAAAATGCGGTATAACAGCATAAAACACAGCCATAAAAAGGATGACATCTTGCCAGATAGGACAAGACGCTCAACCTGGAAGACATTACAATAAATAAAACAAGCTGAGCATGGAAAGGCATTCACTGCATAACCTTAATCATATGTAGAAGCTGAAAAAGTTGGTCACAATGAAGTTGGGAGTAGGGCCCCATGGAATGACTCACACCCATACTCTTTAGCTAATGGAAAGGCAGAGATTGGGAGGATCACGACTCAAAGTCAATCCAGGCAAAGAGTCCAAGAGTTCCATCTCAACCAATAAAATCTGGCTATGGCAACATGTGCCTGACAACACAGCAGTGAGAACAGCATAAATTTGGAGGATTTCCCAGATGGGCAAGGAATAAATGTGAGGTCCTATTCAAACTATAAAGTGGAAAGGAGCTGGAGGTATGATTCAACTGGAAGGATGCCTGCCTTGCAAGTCCAGACCCTGATTTCCAGCACCAAAACCAACATAAAACAGAAATAAAAACAAAAGCACTGAGGATAGAATAGTGACTACCAGGGTAAGATGAGTTATTTCATGAATGAATATATAAAATTATTTTGTTTTAAATTAAAATAAAGCCTCTCCTCTCATGCTTTCTTCTCCCATGTTGTGTGTGTCAATTCAGAGCATTACCACCACCACCCCCACTCCATTCAAACTGGAATCTTCCAGTTATCTTCCATACTTCTCTCTCTTAGGATCTAACTGGCAATGGGTTCTACAGTGAGATCTACATTCCCATTCAGTAGTTCCCATATCTGTATCTACTTTATGTCCTAACTCAAATCTTATCACTTTTTTGTTTGCTTTATTTGAATAGCCTCCCAATTAATTTGCATATACAACATATACACCCTAATATCCATCCATTTACTTGACAAACACAATTGCCACACACTGTAAACCACCCTCAAAAAAATCTGTCAGGGATAACCTTCAGCAAGGTTTAACTTCACATTGTCTTTGGTCAATATTCTACATGATCTGACAGAACAGTCAAATAGCCTTTATGGGAAAGGCAGTCCTGTCAACCTACCCATTACCTTGCTCTTTGTCTGCCTCTTTTACATCTGTTTCTTGCTTGGTTTCTATGTATATTCTTTTTTTTTTTTTTTTTGTCGGTCGTGGGGCTTGAACTCTGGGCCTGGGCGCTGTCCCTCAGCTCTTCAGCTCAAGGCGAGCGCTCTACCACTTGAGCTACAGAGCCACTTCTGCCTCCGTTCCAAAAACAACTGAGTTCACAGCTTTTTAAAAGCAGAAATGCAATCACATTAACCTCCTGCTTTAAAAATCTTTGATATTTCTCCTAAAACTTAAAACTAATTTGGACAGAGCCCAAATTAGCATACCATACCATGTAATACCAATTTTCTTACTTTTCAATACCTGCATTATGGCCATACAGAATGTGTACCCCAACCACAGACTTTCATGCTCCCAATTCTTGTACACAGTGTTCACAGACTGTCCCTCCTCTGTCACTGGCAAATGTCCATCTAACTTTACAGGCCCAACTCAAATGTCCTCTCCTCTGGAAGGTCCAACTCACTAAACACTTCCAATAATTTTCACAATGCTCTGTTCATAGCACGCAGCACTACAGTATCAAATATCTGCTGCCTGTGACAGGTTTCCTCCAAGACAGCCTCTAAGAGACTGTCACTATTCTTCTGTGACCCACCGGAAAACTAAACTCACTTCCTAACGCGGAGTAGTAATAAATAGTTAAATTTCTGGCTCCAATAAAAATGAGAAAGGTTTACCATCATTCCTTTGGCTCCACTTTTCTACTTCATTAAATAAAATTATGGAGATAGGAAAAGGAGAGTTTTTCAGAAGAAACAGAACCACACTAGACTCAAAAGGAAGTTAACAAGAGAAAAATAAACAAATGGCATTTAAAACTGGATTCATTCTTTTACTGTATAGTCTTCTAGAGTTCACATAAGGCTGGAGCTACAGACAATAGAGGCAAATAATGGAAATAATGGAAAACCAGAAGGAGTAAGCACATTGTTTTAGAAAAAATGTGGAGGTTGGAGAAAAAGCATAACCTAAATTCACTCACAGACTCCAGATAAAATGTAAAAAACTAGCTGGATTTTGGTGGCTCACTCCTGTAATTCTAGCTACTCAAGAGGCTAAGATATGAGGACCATGGTTTGCCAGCATGGGCAGGAAAGCCCCTGAGACTCTTTATCTCAATTAACTTCCAAAAAAGCTGAAAGTCAATCTGTGGCCCACGTAGATAACACTGGTCATGGACAGCATCCATGCTCTGAGTTCAAGTCCCAAGACTGGAACAAAAAAAGTGAATGATAGTATTCATTTCTATTTTTTAATTATCATAAATCTAGTTATTGCTTTTACTGGGGTTTTATTTCAAGTTGGATGTTTCTAAAGTTCATAAAGTGAAGTACTACAAATACGGCAACATAAATAGCAAGTAGATGACTATAAATATAAAACATAGCAAAAATTTAATTTTATTAATAAGCCTTTCAAAATCTTCAACCTCAGTTTGAAAACAATTGACTGCTAATTAAACATCCATACATAAAAATTAGTAGTTAAGGAGTGGACATTACCTTGTACAGCTTTTAAAGAGGTCCTTGGTTATCACTTAGTAATGTGAATTCAAGCCATTTCAGTCAATTAATCCAAGTACGTTAAAAGGATCTACTCATAAACATTTTGATAAATAAAAGCTACATTATGATTTAGAAAAATTGCTAGTTCCAAGATGGAAAGCTAAAAGCTTTTATGAGCTCTCTGCAAGCTGAATTGGATGAATTGAACAATTCTGCAGAGTATTTCTGCCATTGCTACAGAAAATATTGAATACAACGTATTTATAAATAACTAATTAAATGTTCTTTTCAACAGCTGCACTAGGACACACAAGCTAGCAAAAATTAATCCTAGAAAGGTTATAAATAAAGCAACATTTTGTTCAAATTTAACCATACAAAAAGACTCAACAGTACAGGGAGAATTAGCAACATTAGCCTGGTCTGTTATTTAGTAACCCATATGATTTAAGGTCAAATCCCTTAGTATCTATGAGCCTCAGTCTTCCTATACATATTCAAGGTGGTTGAGGGGGGAAATATACCAAAAAGTTTGCTTTCAGCTTGACTAATGATTCTACTACATGCTAAATGGGTTACTCAATTCATGTCCTTGTGTATGGTTCAAGAAAGAAAGCCTTTACCTTTTAAGACCTTTTCAGTTAAATATTATGGTTTGGGGATCTATAGATTTATTTAAATCTTAAAGAGCACTGTGCAGAGGAGCAAGAAAACAAAAATTATAAGGCAAGGAATGCAAATAGAACAGTATCAACAAATCGTTTAGAGTACACAGAACAACGGGACTCAGGGTTAAGCCTGATCAGCCAGCAAAATCATTTAGCCTTCCAACATTACCAGTGGTCCCTGGCCAGAGACTAGAAAAACAGACTGCAGGCACATTTCCTAAGAAAGGAACTGAAGTCATTCCCTAGTATATTTACAAATATAATGCTGTACTCATTGGCTGTATGACTTACATTCTATGTTCTACAGTTTTCACAAAACTGTAGAAAATAAAGGATGATTTAAAAATTATGAAAAATTAAACACATTGTATCTATGTTAAAAGTACAGTACTCAAACTACTTCTGATAGCATGCAAACTTTTCAAACGTAATATAGACTGTTTTGAGATTCCATTAAATAATGTCTCTCAAGTGAAGTAAAAATAAAGTAGTTTTAACACTTCAGAACAACTTCTCTTGAAGCTAATTCAGATAAATTCAAATAAAAAAGAATGCTTCATTTACATACTTTAACATTAAACCCATTCTGATTTTTATTTCCAGTAAATTCCAGCTATGACTCTGTCAATCAACTCAAGAGTTTTCAAATCATATAAAAACATTTGCTGCCAGTCATAAAAATGAAGTTTCCACTCCAGTTCCTTTTATTGAAGATACTGGAACATGGTGCATGATGATATGGTTTGGCACTATATATATACTAAACTATATCATCTTACCATCTGAGATTTATTAAACAATACTATTTTGTAAAGAAACAAATGTATGTATTCTGGTTTTCCTACTTTCAGAATCATAAATTAGTCCCCTAGTTGTCCTATGCAATCTATTCCAAGTATCAATCCTTATACAATAAGGTCACTGCCCTCAACCAATAACCTCATTCCCATTAAAGAAATGAGGTATGACTAGAAAAGAGGATAATACAATTTACCAAAGTAAAACTACACATGGCTGAGCAAGTAAGTCCATGAGATTCTTATCTCCAATTAACCACCAAAAATGCAGAAGTGGAGCTGTGGCTCAAGTGGTAGAATGTGGCTCAAGTGGCTCAAGAACTAACCTTACCAGGCCCCGAATTCTAGCCCCAGAATGGGCACAAAAAATATTAGTAAATTTAGAGCAGAAAAATCTAAATCATGAACTGGTTCTCTTAAAGGACATTTAAGGGAAATATATCATTTGTTAGTACAAAACAAGAATTAAAGTATTTATAAAAATTTAAAGAACAGAAATATAAAAATTCAATTGGAAATTAATTACTATGATTTTTTTCACTCTGGTTCACTCCCATTTAAGCAAAGATTAAATCGCGTCTCTGCCAAAATTCCAAAAATTTAGATCAATTAAATAAAAAGTTTAAAGTACTAATGGTTCCTGTCTGAACAAGTCCAACTATGCGGCTCATAAACAGGCAATAGCACTTTGTTGGAACACTAGAGGAAAAGAAAAATGAATGCACAATAACAGAAGTCTACATCTAATTAATAAACTAAATAAAACTAAAAGGTTGTTTGTTAGAAGAGTGAACTCAATCTGTCCCACATGATGAACTAACCTACATGCTTCTTAATACTGTGTAGCCTAAAATAAGAATTATTCATACTCAAGTTATGATTATAGATATTCTCTAATTTCTACCTTTTTACAATATCTGATAACTATAGCATATACTGATACTTCCTCCACTTGTCCGGACAGACATCAATATAAAAATGGTTAGAAGCCACTTCATTCAAACTTCACAAAGGCTAAGAAAGAATTTCTTTCAAAGACATTTTCATAGCCAACTCTCATCATGTGATATATTTACTTTAGCATGGTTAAAACTGAATTTTTAATTAATCAAAAATAGTTTCAGCATTTAACCTGCTTCCGCAATTTCCTGCCACCAAATTCTACATTCATTCTATCCTGTTATACTGAATGGTGTCCAAATTAATTCCTGCAAAGACCTGGCATTTTATTTTGTTCCCCTATTTAATTTTCAATCTCTCACACTTTTCCATCCATTTTCAAATATTCAAGTTTCTCTCTTTTAATTCTATATCTCTCCTCAATTACAGTAATACTTCAACCAACTCTCACCACAGCTCAAATCTGTCCTTGAAAAGGTTGACTATAGCTTCTTTGTTGCTATAAATACAATAAATAGCTATTAGTCCTCATTTTGTTTGGCAACAATGAAAGTTCCTTGGAACTTTCCATGACAGTCCCTCCTATCTTGACCTAACTTCTGTCTATGCTTCAGATTCTCCTTAGTCTTGACCTCCCAAAGAGTGAGATCCTACTGTTTCCAACAATTGTATACTTGATTCCCTTCTGTCTCAAGCTTCCCTAAACTCTGCTTGTATCTACTTCAATGCAAGCTCTTCTTGCCATACTTATGTGGAGGATTTACACTGATCATTGTATATGGTTGAGCATTATATTGTCAATTTCAAAGCAAAATACCTAGTATAAATACTCAGTAAACATATAACTTCCAGAATTATTTCTCCCTAATAAAAAAGCTGTTACCATTGTAATAGATGCACCACAAAACATGAACTAAATGAAAGATAATTTTTAGAACCCACACACTTTATTAGAAATTTCCAACTACATTCAACATTATAGAATTAATTCTCTGTTCACTCGGTCTAGTAAGTGCAAATGACATCATCACAGTTTTAGTAACAATTAACCATTCTCCAAATAGACAAAACTAAAATACTACTGGTCATATACAACTAGGCATATCCTAGTCAAATAAAAAAATATGTTACTTCAAACTGTACGATCCTTAGAAAAAGATAGTCTAGCTCTTGCTAGACTAGCAAAAGACCTTAACATGAAAGTCTATTTATGAAAGTATATTTAAGCAAAATCATGATTCAAACCCACATAAATGTCCTATTCTATCATAATCCTTTTACTTTTCAGATACAAACAATCAACATTTATAACCTAAGTGAATTATGCTCATTGGAGGGCAGAATTTCCATACAGGAAATCAAGGAGCTCCATTCTGGGATAGGTACAGGTTTAATTTGAATTAGGATTTAATTTGAAACTGGGTTTGCTTAACAAGCATACTATTTAACTTGCTTATTCAGAATGGCTTTGAAAAGATGATGCAAATTATACCCATGGATTAGAGCCTCCCCAATACTAGTAATATAAATCCTTCAGTGGTGGAGAGGGTCCGGCTTGAGAGCCATAGAAGACCAGCAAAAGCATTTGAAACAAGACAAGACAGACATGTAATGTTTCTTGTTATCTGCTATCAGCCTGTCTTCCTGATAATCTATATGGCCCATAATGATGTTAGTAATAATAAATAAATAATAAAATAATAAAATAACTCTTGGCAGAAAAAAGATTCACATCCCAGCACAAAAATCTACTAATCAAGTTAGAATAACAAAAGATTTAGCAACCACTGCTGCACTGTATGTTTTATAATAGTACACTTTAAATAGGAGACCTAACACACTAAATACACAATCACTGAAGTAGTACAAAGAAGGCTATTACATAACTTGAAATCATATTTAAATTTTTCAAGACTTATCATGATGAGCCAAATACCTGAACTTCATCTTAAAAAATAAGCTGTAGGAGCTGGAGGAGTGACTCAGTTGGTGGAGCGCTAGCCAATGAACAAAAGCAAAAAAGATCAGAGTCCTGATCTCAAACAAACAAAAAAACCATGCTCAGTATTTCTACAATGGGAAAGGTTAAGGAAGAAGAAAAATTCGCAGGAGATATAATACAAATATGAGCAGACTTACTTTTGCTACTACTACTTTGTTTTTATTAATGACATCGAGACTAAAAAAAAAACAAGACAAAAGAGTTCCAATGAAGTACCAAGAGGCAGAACTAAGAAACATACCTTGAGCACTATTACTTATATTCTATTGTACTACCTATGTATGAACGTGAATTCCAAACTAGAACACAGCACTTTATTAACATCGTGGTACACAACTACATAAAAAAAAAATACTGGCAATAGAATCAGCTTTACAATTCTTGCATTATCATACCTTATACAACTGTAATGTTTAAAAGTGCTGGCAGCCTTCTGACATTCCAGGCACAACTGAATAGCTCCTGGATAGTCTTCCTCCTTAAGAAAAACAAAGCAATCATTAAACATTTTTCTTAACTATTTCCCCATAAAATATATCAGTGTTCATATTCTAACCAAAGTTACAGAATTAATTCCTCTTAAAGATCAAAAAAAAGGGGCTGGAAAGGTGGCTCAGTTGTAGAGCGCTTGCCTTGCATGCATGAGGCCCTGGGTTCAATTCCTCAGCACCACATAAGCAGAAGAAAAAAAAAGCCAGAAGTGGTGCTGTGGCTCAAGTGGTAGAGTGCTAACCTTGAGCTGAAGAGCTAAGGGACAGCACCCAGGCCCAGAGTTCAGGCCCACGACCAGACCAAAAATAAATAAATAAATAAACAAAAACGTAAGGTAACAACTACAACCAGACCTAAAGTATGAACAAAGAAAAATAATTTTTAAATATTCTGTTCCATCCCATGTATCATAATACCCCTCTGAGACCTTAACTAAAGTCTATAAATAGAAGCTGCTTCATAGGAACATTTTAATAGTTCACATATCTTCTTTTAGTAATGTTTATATAAAAATGTTTTGAAACAGTTGGAAATCTATTGTAATTGACACAACCATGATCAAATGACCACCTACAGAATAAGAGATATTTCTAAAGAGACAAATTTAGACATACAAGTGAAATATTAAATGTATGGTTTAGCAATGTCCATAATGTCCCCCAAAGGCCCATGTGCTAAATATAGACATGATCTCCAGCCTGTGGTGCTGGTGGAAGTGGCAAACCTTTGGAAGGTGAGGCCTAGCGGGAGGAAGTAGATCATTGTGGACGTTGCCTTAAAAATTATACTGAGACCTCTCCCTACAACCTCCCAGCCACCATCATGTGAGCATCTTTCATCTGTCTTCTGCCATGAAGCCCTACCTTACCACCAGCCCAGAACTAATGTGGCAAACATCTACAAAATGAAACTTCTGAAATGTTAAGCCAAAATAAACTTTCCTTCCTTTAAGTTGTTTTTAGAAAAGCTAATTCAAAAATTAGAAAAGCTGATTTAGAAAGCTACCACAATAACTTAAGAATATTAGCAACAATCTAGAAGCAACACCAAGTTTATACAGAAAGCTGCATATACTTTTTCTCCTATGCCCATCTCTAAAGTCAATGGATGCAATTTAAACCACTAGGGATGCTGAGGTAATGACAAAGTAACTACCCCAAGAACCTTAACTATTATGTTTCTTATAATATTTAGTATTACATTATGGCTTTTGAACCTTATTATAAAAGAAACAGTCACAGAATATTAAGAAACTACCAAAAAGAAACAGATGGCTCACTCAGAAAACCAGTTGATACATGAGATACTAAATATAATGAAAGTCCTACACATATTCCACACATTGCTACTGCATGTCAAATGCAAAAGATAATTTTATTCTTATTTGGACACATGAACTCAAAAGACTAGAGTTAACATTCCCATGAATATTTTCTGAATGTTTATAGAAAAAGGTTCTAGGGCTCTAGATTATTATTTTTAAACAAGGGATCTGTTTATAGAACATAGCAATTCAAGAAAAATGCACATGTTATTTAAGTCCATTACATTTTTTCTACATACTTTTAACGTAGCATTACCAAATTTCCAAGTCTATTACTTACCTCCAGCATTTCACTTAAGCGTACATCTGTTCTTTGCTGAAAAAAAAAAATCAAATGTAAAATGTGTCTCAACCACAAAACTAAGTTATTATTTTTTTAAAAAACCCATATATACCAATGTTTTTATAGTTCTCAGAGACTTCAGAAGTCCAATCAGCAACTGACGTTTCCTTTGATTTGCAAGAAGGCCTAAACTAGCTTGAGTAAAACCTTCCTTTGCAATATTCAAATGTCTGTAAAAGCAAAAAATAAATAGTTAAAAATTTCTAATATAACATGAATACTATCCACACAAAACTATAAGGCAGTGCCCTGGATTACTATTAAAACTGAGAACTGTGACAATTACTTGAAAAATTAGTAAATTTCTCAGTCTAAACCAGCATTATTCATTCATGCTCAATGGAAGCCAAGACACAAACCATTCATGGTCCATGATAAGAAAAGCACAGAAATTGAAAATAAGCATCTAAAAACTTAGCATAAACATTGGGGGACTAATTTTTGTTTTTGTGATTCATATAATAAAAAATTGACAATATATATCTTTCCTTTATTTTCTTAAGAATTAGTTTCTATCACATTTAATTTTTCATTATGCTTTGGTGATAAGGGGGAAAAAAGATAAAAACAGTGGTCTTAGCCAGGTGCCAGTGGCTCACACCTGTAAACCTAGCTACTCAGGAGGCTGAGATCTGAGGATAGTGGTTCAAAGCCAGCACAGGCAGGAAAGTCTGTGAGACTCTTATCTCCAATTAACCACCAGAAAACTAAAAGTGGTGCTGGATCAAGTAGTAGAGTGCTTGCCTTAAGCTGAAGAGCTCAGGGACAGAGCCCAGGCCCAGAGTTCAATCCCTATGACCAAAAACAAAAAAAAAGTTGTCTTTCACTACCAATAGTTTAGGAAGTACTACTCTAAGTAATATCCAACAGTAATGTTTTTAACCTAGTAGCAGATTTGTAGATATTTCATACATTCCCTCTGCAATTTTTAGATCACTGCATATATTCACCCAATTCTAGAAATTATTGAAATATTTCAAACTTAAAGACAAAGTATCACTAAAAGCAGTACCTCCTCCCATTTGTGCAGATAACAGCAGCTAACTGTAGTCCTGTCTGTAATGAGGTAACTCTTTCAAGTTCCTGTGGAAGGATTAGGTACAGGTTTATGACTGAGGCATTTGCTTTTTCTTCCTTGCACACATGGTACTACAACAAAAGCTCTAGTGTATTTCAAAGAAAAGCCTGCCTAGAAAACAAAGTAGCAACTTGAAAAATGTCAGCATATTTTTCAACGTTATTTTAAATGACTACTTCCCATTTTCACAATGACAGATGACAAAATATTTAGTATTATTATTACTTCTATGTAAAACTAGATCTAATTTTTCCAGACAGAAATAAATAATACACCTATTTACATGTTTCCACCCAACAGAACTTCTTAAAGGAATTAAGGAAGTGACAAGTATGACTTCTACGTGCTAAAATCCACTGACAATGAATGATGATCTGAACACTGCTAGACATTTCAATGGATTTTTGAAGGCTCTCTTTTCTCATAAAAATACAGATTCAGCTAGGAAATTATAATTTCATTGTTTTATTTTTGTTTTTTTTGCCAGTCCTGGGGCTTGAATTCAGGGCTTTAGCACTGTTCCTGAGCTTCTTTTGCTCAAGGCTAGCACTCTACCACATGAGCCACAGTGCCATCACTGGCCTTTTCTATTTATATGGTACTGAACTCAGGGCTTCATGTATGCGAGGCAAGCATTCTACCACAAAGCCACATCCCCAGCCCAATTTCATCGTATTTTGAAGCCAAATTGTATACTGTCTGTAAGGCAAATTATTCTACTGCTGATCTATGCATATGATACACAATTCACAGAAACAATTTTTTACTAAACTTTGAAAAATGTATCACTTTAGAATTCTATATACAAATTAATTTGCTTCTTTAGCTTCATAAATTCCGCCAAACGAGAGAGAATACATACATACACACATATCCTACAGAGGCAGTATGTTGCTATAGAATTATAGACAAAAGAATACAATATTAAGTTCAAATATAAATCATTCAATCATTTATAGAGTTCTATGATTAAAATAGTAAACATTATCGTACCTTTACATAAGCAGGCTGCTTTTCAAGGATTAAATCTGCTACTTTTTTAGAGACCTACAAGAACATGCCATCAAATAATGTAAAAGAAAAAGCCTCATACTGCATATTACATTTTATAATCAAAATTTTTACCAAGGACAGCCCAGAAGCCATTCCATAACTATTAAAACAGCACTGTAATGCTATGCCACAGCTAAGCTCTGAAATTAAACAGGTACAAAATGAACACATTACGTGGAACGTAGACCTTAAGAGAAATTTAGTACTTGTCATTATTAATGTTAATAATTTGGATATCATCTGATATAACAAATAGGAAGAAAGTGTCACCATCTTTAAGGGCACAGGATATGACTTATAAAGATGAATTTGTCTTTTTGGGGGGGTAGGAGGGTCCGGTTTGGGGCCTGAACTCTGGGCCTGGGAGCTATCCCTCAGCTCTTCAGCTCAAGGATAGCACTCTACCACTTGAGCCACAGCGCCACTTCCAGCTTTTTTCTTTTTGCTTATGTGGTGCTGAGGAATCGAACCCAGGGCCTCAGGAATGCAAGGCAAGCGCTCTACCACTGAGCCACCTTCCCAGCCCCACAAAGATGAATTTGTTAAGACAAATTTTCCATCAGTTGAAGGTATGGAGACAATCTCTGGGAAACAGAGAACTTGCCTGATTTCTTTAGAAGCATTTTAGCACTTAAAAAGAAAAACAATGTGGTACCTCACTTCTGAAACATTGAAATACATGCTTTTTGTAATACAATAAACTTTCAAGGTTTTGTTCTTCAATGTTGACAAAAGTCAGTCAGAATCAGGTTCTTATTCAACATTTTAGGGGTTGTGATAACTATACCAGAAACACCACATCTAGCACAAAGTATATACCCAGAATGTTTGTATATACTTACATAGAATTTGCTCCAATAGCCCAGGCCAAATAAAAACAGATCATTTTATACATACTATAGTACTGATTAATCCTTTAATGGTTTTCTGTTTTATTTTGTTTTGTTTGCCAGTCCTTGGGTTTGAACTCAGAGCCTCACACTGACTCAGCTTTCTGGCTTGGCTGGCACTCTATCACCTGAACCATGCCTCCAGTCCAGCGTTTTATTTTGGAAATACAGTCTTAGTTGTTTTTTTTTCTGCCCAGACTGGTTTAAAACTGTGATTCTTCAGATTTTTAGCTTCCTAAGTTGCTAGAGTTACAGGCATGAGACACCAGGGTGTGGCAATTTTGCATTGTGTTAATTTGCATCAAACATCTTGGAAATGCGTTATTTTCTAGATACAGATTGGTTTTGTCTAGAAAAAGTTTGAGAAAATCAAACTTTAAATAAATTTTACACTTCAGTTAATGGAGATCAACATTAATGCTTTATATCATTTAAGAATTCCAAAGATTTCCATCAGATACTCTAGCAACAGCTTAATTAGGATCATATAACCCCTGTGAGGAAAAAAAATCAAGTAGGAGCCACAGTAAGAAAATGAAATCAGTAAGCTCTAACTCTGTACCATCTATTTTAATATCTATGAGTTTTTATAAGTGTTCACAGATGGAACCTATCTCATTTTACCCAAATAGATTACAAAAATAGATTAATATAATGATTCTTAGTCTGCACCATCCTAGTCAGTGTACTTGTTTCTACATTATTAGGAATCATGATAATCCATTGAAATGGGTTCTATACTTTCTCCTTCTCCAAATAAGCAATCTTTTCTTTTTTTCCTTTTCTTGTCTTGTCTTGTCTTTTCTTCTCTGTGGTTGTGGTGGAACCAAACTCAGAACCTCATGCCCAGGTACTCTGTCACTTAAGCAATGCCTTGAGCCCAGAGAAGCAATTTCAAAAGTAAATCATACAGAGTCCCACAGTCCCACAATTAGTAAATTCTAAGACCAAGATTCAAATCTAAATTTACAAAATTTCAAAAGCCATGATGCTACATAGGTCTTGTTAGGAGACACATTACATACAGAATAATACCTCATAAAATACTCATATGGAAGAGGACATGGTGAAGCCATGTCCTAAAGACCAACTAAAGACTAAATTCCACTAAAGACCAACTCCCTAAAAGCACAACTCACTACACAGCCCTCTAGAGCTCAAGTTATTTCTCCAGCCTAAGCCTACTACTTATACCCTCTACTCCTGCTATCCAGTGGGCAGAACAAAAAAGAGAAGTGCTTATCTCCCTTGATTTGCTGATGATTGCTAACCTCAGAATAAATTCAACTAGATGAAATCACTACTATTATTTCTCTACTTGAAAAGAAATCATAAGACTGCATGCTATTAACTAATCTTCTACAGTGAACTGGATAAAAGTGGGTTCAACCTCACATGAAGAAAGCATAAAACCATGGAATTTCAGAGTATCAGAGAAAATGCAGACCTAACATATCCTTTAACAGATAAAAAAAAAAAAAAGAAAAGAAAAGAGATTATTTAGTGAAGTGCAAAGACCTGGTCAATGTCCTAACTATATGCTGACTACAACCCAGCCTTTTTGAATCTTAGTCCTAATTCTCTTTAGACCTATTTCAACTAGAAGTAGAGACTTTCATTGATATAAAAATGTTCCACTATAAAACTATGGATAGCAAAGTCATACATACATGCCTAAAGGTCCTTGTTATTCTGAAAGCAAGTTTAAATTCTTCGATCATATTTAACATTCTTAAGATATTTTAAAGTTCTAGAAATTTACTTTTGATAGAAGCAAAACAAATCTGTCAAAAGAAACTGCATGAGTATTAAAACTTATTAATATCAATGTATCATCTGAGTTAGTCGTGATAAATAATATATATTAATATATTAGCTCAAACCAAGAAATTTGCAAACAATACATCTCTATTATGTTTACTTACAGTTTTACTAGAAATATTACTTACTGCAGCTTGCTGTTGTTTCAATTTGTCTCGGTACTCCTCTAATTCTTGCAAATTGAGAATAGGTGGAAGTTTCTATAGAAAAAAATTATAAATTAAAAATAAAAAGCAGTGCTTACTTTGGTTACATTTATTTGAACACCTATAAATAGTGTGCATACTAAAGTATCATGCTTATCAACTGTTCACCTCGGTTCCTGTCTCATCCAAACCCACCTAACTGGACTCCTGCCGCAAAAACCTACACATCTGTTTTATATGATCCTCTGGTTTCTACCCTGCCCAGCCTTTTTATCTCCACTGCTACTGCTCTGACCATTAGGAAAGCCCACTAGCAATGAACATGGACCCTAGACAGTAAGAGAGGACTTTCATGACCTGTGCCAGGAAAATGGGGCTATCATCCCTAATTCCCATCTATAAGCCACCCATCCCTACATGCTTATAATAGAACTCAACACAACTTTCCCTCTGTACTATTATAAATGGTAATACAGTGACAGTTGTTGGACTACATTCTGGATTATATCCACTTTTAGAAGACAGTATGGAAAAATAATTTTTAAAATGAATGAAATTGTACATGCAGAGAAACATACTCTAAGTCTCAGTCAACTGAGGAATAAAACTTCAGAATGAGTTGAGGATTGATTTTGTATCTACTGCACATAAAGTATATATACATATTGCATTTGGTTTTATCTAAAACCAAATTTTATCCCAATCTTTGGGGAGTTCCTATAAATTTTAATGTCAATATCATAAACATTATTGCATATGGATATTTTAGCATAATAAGCACTCATGATTAAAAGCCTCAGGAGCATTGACCAGGAATGGTGGGGCACACTTATAATCCCAGTTACCTGAGTGGGTGTGGTGGGAAGATCACTTGAGTCTAAGAGTTTGAGACCAGCATGGGAAAGAGTGAATCTTATCTCAAAAAATAAAAGTCCTAGCTTTCCTAAAGATATTTAGGCAAAATAAAACAAAATAGAAACAGAACACTAATATACTGGGACGTTTACAGGTGAAAACCAAATTACAGAACTGTTTCCCTTACCAATATCCTACAGCTGCACTTGAAACTACTTTTCTAAAAATAATCTGACCTTTAAACAATGCTCATAGCTTTTTTAGTCACAGTGTGATAATCACAGACCCGATCTGGTCATCATTCATAAATAAATGAATAAATAATTCAAATCTCAAACGCAATCACTGAACAGAAAAGATATGTATTGATGAAAATTTTCTTTTACCTCCAGCTCATATTTAACAATATCAAATGAGTCTGCAGAAAAATACACTTGTTCAATACTATTAATCAGTTCTTGTTCAGCTTGAGGGTCACTTGGCTGTTCTCGAAGTTCCCTGAATTCCTCCTTTAAGGAAAAAAAAAAGTAAAATTATCAATTACAATGCTTCTAGCTACTAAAACAGAAACAAATGATTATCTGTCCTAAAAGTCACATCTCTTCTGAGAACCACTCTGTTCAAGGATACAAATTAATTAGGAACCAGAAAATTTGTGGAAAATTAGGAAATAGTCAAGTGCTAAAAACTGCTCATCTACTGGAGAAAAAAAAAATGGCCCACTGAAAGATTTTAGATTTTATTCTTCCTTCTAGGTGCCAGCAAGGGTGAGAAACCTCAGTGTAAAGCTAAGCAACACCGGCTCCAGAAAACGTTTGAAGCTTAGCTCAGTAATCCCATGGGGCTTCCTTTCCAGTGTACTGAATATTGTGATTTTTGTATGATTATTAACCTAAAGTTCTTTATTTGGTAAAATATATTGCTTTCTAACAGTATGGAACGAGGCTTCCATGAATTTATGTAACAAAACCAAAAAAGCTTGAAAGACAAATCTCTATCCCTAATGTTAGCATCCTTATCCTATGCAATTACTGCATAATTGCATAATCCTTCAATTAACTAGAAAACTTCAATACATTAAATACCCATCCTCACCACACTACCTAATCAAGACACTATTATAAACACATAACAAGGTAGCCTGCTCTTCTCCTACCCTGCTTCTCTCAACGAAATAAACATCCAAAGTTATGAAAAATGACAAAGGGAAAATGATTTCATTAAAAAATATCTCACAGGTGTACCTTTCAAAACCGATGAATCTGTAACAAATACATCTATATGTATGTATGAAAGGTCAGATGCTCTCCTTCCTACTGAACAAACAATATCACAGACAACAGCCAAATCCATGTAATTTCAAATCGCTGACATGGAACACCTGACACTCTAATAAGAAACCTGAACTAAAGGGAAGAATAAAACCTATGAAGGCAGGGAAAGAAATATAGCATATGATGAAGAATTCACCCCAAAACAAATGCCCTGATGTATCACCACATCCCTACAAAATGTCTTCTCCTTTCAGTCAGGTGGTGACTTCATTGGAAATACACAAACTGCATTCTCAACAGAATCAGATCACCATGGTCTTTTCAGTCTCACTGAACTACAGGAGGTTAAGACTCTGCTTCTACCCTAAGAGTTCTCCAAATACTTCATGGAGTTAGAGCTAGCTGCTCATCAGTTCTCGAAAAGTAAGAAAGCTCCTGAGTCTCCCTCATTATGCTCTATAGTGCCTTGACACATTTCTAGATAATGATTACTAATCAAACTAAACTTAATTGAACAGTTAATTGAAAATTTTCCAGCAACTATTAAAAATAGGTCTCTTTGAGTCAGAAATAACAACAAATGTAATATGATTTAGAAATATCTTGTATATTTTGAAGTATCTTTATTTTTAGAAACATATAAATTTAGAAAATTAAGCAGCTACACCGTGTTTTTTAATACAATTGCCCTCAAATTTTGCCAGTAAAAAAAAAAAAATTCACATCATAGTACCACTGGAAAAAAAAAACAGTACCAGATGTAATTCCATAAGAAAAACATACAATAAGTTACCATGTGATTTTTTTTTGTTGCTCTGTATGGTATAACCATGGTATAACCCGTTTTCACTGTATTTGATGTTGGTATAATTTGTGGAGGGGAAGGAAAAAACAAAATGTTTAAATAGGGATACAGGTTAACCCACTGCAACAATGAGATGTACAAGACGCTATGTCGAAAAATGAACTTTACAATTTAGGTGGGGGGACGGGGAGGGAGCTGGGGGTGTAGTTGAGGAGGTGGGAGGGACGGGATGGTAGGGGAAAAACAAAGGAGGAGGCAACAATTCTGGATAAGAAATTTACTCATTACCTTGCTCATGAAACTGTAACCCCTTTGTACAGTATTTTCACAATAAAAAACATTAAAAATTAAAAAAATAAATAGTACAAAAAAAAAGAAAAAACTTACCATCTTATTATTTGGAACAAAATTATTTAGAATAAAATATACCTTATAACTTGTACTAATGAAATGTTTTTAAGGATTGACTTTTATGGTAAATTTCCTGGCATATAACATGTAACCAAATACATATTAATATAATAAGTGGTAAGTGCTTTGTAAAATAATTTGTAAAGAACTATAGACTATCAAATGCACCACAACATGCTTGCCAATGGTAATTAACTAAAAATTTTGGAAAATGAACATCAATGTCAACCCAGAATTAAAGATGGAGACAAACCACAATTAAAGTCATAATTTAATGCATTTAACTGCAGCTGGGGGAAAGGAAGCATAAAAGGCAAAAATGATCAAGTTAAGTCTCTCTCCCATCTTACTTTTAGGAGCCAATCTGCTTACTTTCAGGGCTCAATGACCTTACTTTTTCCAGACAATATAAATCCATAAGCAAACTATTTTATTCTTATTATGTAAAACTTCCACAAACTATGTCATGCACAGAAATGAGCAACATTCAGCTCTTGACCCAAATTGTTACTAACGTAAGAGGGGTCAGGTAAAGAAACAAACAGCAACAGCACAAGGCAAAACTTCAGGGAGATACAAACAAAATAAAGGGCACCAAAAGACCATGAGGTCACATGTGATAGAAGAAATGGTATTGAGTGAACATTCAAATAGGCAGAGTTTAGATTTCAGACGCTAAGGCACAGATAGGGTTACAAATATAAAGGAAAACTGAAGTAAAAACTGTTTATCAGGAAAGTGAAACAGATTCAAGTGATAAAGTGTTAGCTGCCTGCAGCATAAAGAAAGGTTAACCCGGCCCAGTCTGCAAGTACACCTTCAGGCAATATAAGGCAGTTATTGACATCCTAAGCCCATATATATAAATATATGTGAATTCTGTTTTTCTTTACTAAAACCAAAGAATTGTATCCTTGCATCAGAGACTATATCAAAGTAAGCATAAATATGAAATTATTTCTAACTATAATAAACCAAACAGGAAGATTTTAGGACAGTGGTAGACAAAAAAAGATGTTTGATTTTTTTGAAAGGCTGGTTTTTCCAACAGTCCTAACACCTATATGTAACTATTCCTAGACTGCTTTTCTACTTTTCTGTCTCTGAGATAAAACTACATGAATAAATTGTACATTATAAATGTTACTTTATGAAAAATGAAAAAAAATCAAAATGGACATTTAAGACATCAAGATTTTTGATTTACTGAAGCCATTTTGTACTGTCTACATAAAAACAAAAAAATTATGAGAACTGGGGACTCAAGCCTATAAAATTATTTGAGCCCTCTGATACAATCTAAGGTATTATAAAACATTTATGGCTTTTAAAGAATCAGGACTTTAACTTTACAAAGCACCTCCCACTTAAGGGTTCATCTCTTAAGGGAATATTTCAAAGTTTAAGAAAGAAAATAGAGACTATCAATTTTGCATTCAACCATTACTTTTAAATTATCCAAAATCATGTACTCATTGAAAATACCAATCCAAGTTCAGAACTTTCTATTCTATTCACTCTAAGATGTGTTATGACAGCTTAACAGTTCTCCTCGTCACTATTAAATTCATTATTCTCCTTAATTCTGAAAAGTAATATAACCTTATTTTTAAACCCACAAAACAGCTTAGAAATTCATAATCTTCAGTAGCAGATTTCATTCAAAGAAACAAGTAAATGTAAAATCTTCATAGGTCATGTCTTAAAGCTCTGAAGAAAATTTGTAGAATAAATACTGAGGCCCCAACTCTTCCTTTTGCTTAGATTAATAGAACACAGAGCACACTGAATAGTTGATTATGTATCTGTAAGACAGACTGTGTGTGTGTGTGTGTGTGTGTGTGTGTGAGAGAGAGAGAGAGAGAGAGAGAGAGAGAGAGAGAGAATGTGTGTGTAAGTAAAGGTGGAGAGAATTTTGCTCTTTAATGAATTTAGTGCTTGAGTTAGGTTTTTGTTTGTTTTTTGTTTGGTTTAGTTTTTGCTGTTAACATTTATCAGTAAAGATGATCGTACAAGAAATTCTAAAAAACAGACTGCATAATCTTAAATTTTTAACACCATTTCAGAAATGTAATTGAAAGAAAAAAAACATGTTTAGCCACCCAAATCCAAAGAAGAACAAAACATGAAGTCTTCATTATTATCTCAGTACTATTAAAACCATAAATCACTAACCAGATATCAGTTTGATCTGCTTCCAATGAAAATCTATTTCAAGATCACACATAGCCTAAAACCATGTACCACATAAGTTTATAATGAATTGCCAGATGTTTGATTACATGGGGAAGTAGAATATTTTCTTAAAATCCCACTAGAACAACAATAATAATCCATCAAAGGTAGTCAGTTCATCAGTTCTTATTTGTGTTTTAAATAAAACAACAGCTTTTAACGAGTACTCCGTTTTTCCTTAGGCTTCCAGTGCCATCTAGCGGAACACTAGAGAGACTACAACTTGAGAGGTTTCAGTAAAAAGACAGGAAATTTTTATGAAAGGTTTTATGATTTACACAAGCCTCATTTACCCAAATGCTAAGAAGTCAAGGCAAATCCATTCAGCATATTTCCCAAAAGTATTTTAAATTACAGAAAACATTCTGCTTAACTCCCAGTATATATGCAACATAAATTCTACAAAGCAGGAAAGCAATCAGTAAATACTAGTAGAATTAACGAAGCACAGAATTAAATTTTTTTATATTTATAATTATACAAATGTATTCTCAAACTGGAAAGCCACAAGTACTTCCTTTGTTATTACAGTCATTATTTTTCTTTCATGAACAATAGGCATCACTAAGCCAATCATATAATACTAAACACAGCTGAGTCATACTTATGAGTTAATCAGGCCAAAAAAAAAAAATTCTTAAAGACTTATAAGGAGGTAGAAAAGCCATCATAACCACTCATGAAATAATACAAACATCGATAGTCTTTTCAAGTTTATAATAAGACACAGCCATTTTGGAAGCACTATAAGCAATGTTTATTACAAATTGATATAAATTTTAAGGTTCTGAATAATAGTATTTTTAATTTTTTTGATCAAAGCTCAACAATACTCTTAAACACAGTTCTAATTAATGCCCTAATAATATTGTGGGCTACTATAATTATTTTATAATAAAGATTAATTTTAATTTTTAATTCTTATATTCAATGGGAAAACTCCTTGACATTTAAATAAATATCAAGTTCAATCAATAAACACAATCTGTTTTTTCATACCTTTACCTCTGAGGAAAAAAACACTAATTTAAAATATTGCAAAATCCGTTTCTCAAGAATGGAATTTAAAATATTTCTACTTTACCCACAAAAATTGTCAGTAAAATTGGAATTTTTCTAGAATACTTGTTATATTTCCTTTCATACTTCTCTACTCTGTGATTGTTTTCTATACTTTATTTGCCAAAAATCACATTTCCAGTATTTGAATCATCATCACAATTACATTTTTATAATAGGCCACAATATTATCTGGTCTATAAAACATGGAAATTATACCAAATGCAAGATTTTTTTCTCCCTTATATTTTATATAGTTCTCAAAAATATGAAATAAACAATAACCTCTGGTTTATAAAACATATCCACATGCCCTTCATCACTTTCCCCTCATTACCTCCTTTTCTTACAGAGTTGAACCACATGAAATTTGCCAATATCTGGCCATTTTTAAACTATACCAAGAGCCATTTCATATCACTCATCCTATTATTCACACACACTTAACCTTTATATAAGAAATTTTCAATTTATTACAATTCAACCTAATCTTTCTTGAAAACATTACTGAAATCTTAATTCCTTATTTCAACTTAAGACATTGTGACACAAAGGAGTGAGTAGCAGGCCCAATTTTTTTTTTCCAGTCCTGGGGCTTGAACTGAGGTCTAAGCACTGCCCCTGACCTTTTTGCTTAAGGCTTGCACTCTACCACTTAAGCCAAAGTGCCTCTTCTCACTTTTTCTGTTTATGTGGTGTTGAGGAACTGAAACTCGGACTTCGTACATGCTTGACAAGCACCATACCACTAAGCCACATTCCCAGCCTGAGCAGGCCCATTCTATGTGTTTAAAGAGCAAGTTACCCAATAGTTTGGCTTAGATTAGGTATTGTTGGACTTATCTGTCCTATTTGAATCGTCTGCCTATGTGCATGGAGAAACATTTCACTATTTCATTTAATAACATCACCTCAAGCCAGGCACTGGTGGCTCATGCCTATCATCCTTCAAACTGAAGCCAGCTCAGTTAGGAAAGTCCATGAAACACTTATCTCCAATTAACACCAAAACACCAAACACCAGAAGTGGCATAGCACCCAGGCCCTGAGTTCAAGTCCCATAATCCATAGGTCTAGCTAGAGATAGAGAGAGAGAGACAGAGAGAGAGACAGAGAGAGAGAGAGATTTTTTTAAATCAGTACATAAGTACATAAGTAGTTTTTAAAATAAATAAATAAAAAGGAAATGTTACAGGGCACTGGTAGCTCACACCTAAAATCCTAGCTACTTAGGAGGCTGAGATCTGAGAGTTGCCATTCTAAGCTAACCAGTGCAGGAAAAGTCTGTGACACTATTATCTCCAAGTAATTACAAAAAAAACTCAAAGTGGAGCTGCAGCTCGAGGCTCAGATGGGAGAATGCTAGACTCAAACAAAAGAGCTCAGAGCCAAAAAAAAATTAAAATAAAAATAAAATAAAAAGTTCAGAGCCACTATGCAGACTCCGAATTCAAGCCTCAAGACAGGCACACACAGGCACACACACAGACAGAGGCACACACAGGCACACACAGACACAGACACAGACACACACAGACACACACAGACACACACACACACACACACACACACACACACACAGGATAAAAGGCATTCCTGCTCTTCTGGAAGAGACAGTGCCAGTACCTACAAAAATCTAGCACCTACTAGCGTACTCAAACATTATTAATGATGCGCTAAATACTAAAAGGCAGTATTAAACTTTGGTGTTTTATTACTTTGTATGATTAATTTAGGTACTTTTTTAGGTTTAATACAGCTGTGCACATCATACACTATCTTTATATTTAAAAGATTATTCCAATATTCAAATTAGTATGCTCTCCTTTGTTGAAATGCTTTTAATTATTTGAAAACCTGAAATAAAAATTTTTCTGATTTGTTTTGTTTTGCTCTTTGAGACAGTGTTCTTTGCAGCCTAGGTCTGCCTCACTATCTTCTTGCTTCCACTTTCCAAGTGCTGGGATCTAAGGGCATGTACCCCCACACCCAGCTATGAAGGTCATCTTTTGTAAACATCAAATTTTACATCAGCAAGAACTAGGTGCACATTCATTTTAAAGCAATTGTATAAAATGTAGAACATTTCATACACCTGGGCAATAAACAAAGTACAAAGTCATATGTAAGTTATAAAAATATACACTCAGCATTAAAGTTATACTATGCCACACTCTGGGGGAACCTCTGAATGTATATCTTCTTAACTGTCATTCTCAGTTCTGACTACACCCCACTCATACCCAGTCTACCAACAAAAGCTTTGCCATACTCTGGACTGAGTAGTTCTTCTAGAGAAAAAGCAGCTCTCATCATACAGGCTCTTGCAATGGGACAAGCAAGCACAGAGAAAACATGCCTGGCCAGCCCGTTTAGTCCTGTGTAAAGCTGAACGTAACTTGTAGCCCTGGTACTATTTCACTGGTATCTTCCCCTGAATCATTTTCATTTGCTGACCCTGTGGTCCCTGATTGGCCAATCCACCCGGATCAATTATCTCAAAAGTACACGGTAGAGCATCCATAAATAGAGTGTACAGTAAGAGCACCATAATTCCACTGCTGGAGAAAAGACAGGCTCAAGGTTTAAAAACAAGAAAGTTCGTAATAATACATTCCTGCATTTCTTAATGAGACTCACTCATCAATTTGACACTGAGTATAAAACATGCAAAGCAGTCTAATTCAAGGTACGTTCACAGTGCATATTAATTTTTTCTTAAATCAAGGAAATAACAGGAACCGTTCTTGGTTAGGCAACAGTTATCCCTTATTTCCCAACTGCATCACATCCAATAATCTTCATTAATGTAACATAAAACTATGATATTGAAAATGCCTCTCTATGTTTTTGTCTGAACAATTTAATGCAAAAGGGTTAGGTAGAACTTCACTGTATTTGAACAATATGTTTAGGTCTGAACTAGCACAAAGACTAAGCTGTCAATGCAAATTTGCTTCAAGAAGATGCCCCAAAGAGACTGGACCCATACTTCTTAGCCACAAACACTGGGCGGGGGGAGGGGGGGTAGATAAGGAGTGGTAGGGGGAAGGGAAGCCTTACAGTACAGAACAAGAAAAATAAGCATTAAGACCCGAGATACAGAAAACAAATGTAATCCTCAAATTTAAAATCCTAAGAGCAGGCGTTCAGAAGTGCCAGCTTTCCTTTGTGCTAGAGAGACGCTATGCCAAGCAACGGCACTACAGACAGCAGGGACTTAACAATGGCTAATAATTTTCCTGGGGGGAAGCCAGCTAGCTTTCAAATAATCTACATTAAACCTGTAAACTGAGAAGTCTGCATGAATATCAGATATTTAAATCTGAAGGATATGCAATTTAGTCAAGTTATGCTTTAGCTGCTCATTCAAAAATCTCCAACTAAAAGAAAAGCGTAACTGTGATTTGGGGCTTGGAATGTTATAATATACAAGGTCTGTAGCAAATTACTTAATTTTATTTAAACTATACAGATAAAGCAGTTAAGTTAAATATGCATATGTATGTGTGTATTCTTAGCCTTTGAGCTAAGAATTTGATATAATAAACTCTAAATTTATTAATTTTGCCATTTCTGTTTCACTCTAATGAATCATACACATCTCAGTGAAAATGCATAATGAAAGCAAACACAAGCCCCATATGACTATAATATTACACAAATTTACCTAGCTTATCCTAACCACCACCTGCCTGTGGGAAAGAAAAGCTTCTGTGAATCAATTGCTATCCAGAGGCAATAATATTTCCTTAAGGAGGTGAAAAGTCACGTTTGCACACGTAGATCAATACCTTTCCAGGGACGCGCAGACTCTCAATGGCACCAAGATCACTGAGGCTCTCTGGGGGGCTTTTTAAACCCTTCAAAAAATGAGAAAAAAACAAAGTTTAACTGCTGACCAATGATTAAAGGATAACACACCTAGAAAAACAGAAATTATTATTTTTAAAGGACAAGTGCATTTCCTGCTTCAAAATACACAGAACATACATTCTAAACACTTAATAAATGCAGTACTGTTATAGAATTAGGTTATGGTCGAAGTCTTGGTCATAATTCCGAGACAATCAAAAGCAAGTGTAAGATAGTGAGTTCCAATCCCCGTCTCAGACAAAAAAAAAGTGTCCTATAAAAGTATTTATCTATTAACAATTAGCAAATTCACCTGGAAAGAAAAGAACTAAGAAATAGAACTATGATTCACAACAATGCACTACCCATGAGAGTAAACAGACTTTTAAGTAATATTCACTGCTTAATAAAAAGGGGGGCTTTATTTTTCTTGATTATTCCTCACTAATGCAGACAATTCACTTTGCCTAAGTTGAGATTTAAATTCCACATCTCACTGCTTTCTACCTATGCTTTCGCCCTATTCTTTCTGTATGCACAGCAACTGAGGGATACTAAAAAGCATGAGACTTAGAACAGAATTTGCTTATCTTTCAGTTATATAGGTGTGTGTTTTACAAAATGCTACAAGTCAAGCTTGTACTTGAGACTTAGAACAGAATTTGCTTATCTTTCAGTTATAGAGGTGTGTGTTTTACAAAATGTTACAAGTCAAGCTGTGCACCAGTGGCTCAGCTCATGCCTGCAATTCTACCTTCTCAGGAGGTTGCAATCTATAGATCATGTTTTGAAGCCAGCCCTGCAGGAAAGTCCATGAGACTCTTATTGGAATAAACCACTCAGAAAAAGCCCGAAGTGGCACTGTTGTTCAAGTTGTAAAGCCCAGAGTATGTAATTATTCTTCCTTTCTCTTCTCTCCCTCTCTCTTCCTATCCCACACACACTCCAAGAAGAAACCAATATGACATCTTCAGAATTACCTCCTTTATCAAGTTTTCACAGTATATGTCAGTGCAACTGAAGGATCATCTTCATCAGCTTCACCAAAGGGACTTTTAAAGATTCAGGGAACTACTTTACTACAGACATAATAAATAGATACTTCTGGATTCAGATCTGGACTTAGCATTTTAACTCGACCTCAGGTGACTCACATGATTTGTAATGTTTAGAAACACTTCTATACATTTTCCAAGACAAAATAAATTCTGAACACTTCTCATTCCCACACCTCAAGTCCCAAGAGAAGGGAAAAACCAAGCCCTGTTTGACTCAATTGCCTAATGGCTAGCAAAGTTCCTGGAACAGCGTAAACACCACAGAAATGGTAGAAGTGACTGGTTTGACTCCAATTTCCAGCTAATTAGCACACTTTTCTCCAGGGAATATTCAACTAACTAAAGAATGAAGTTGCTAGGATGGTATGCTAGAAAAAGGCCCAATATGAAAAAAAAAAAAAGAACATCTAAACACTTACAAGCCTTGGGCTATTATTTCTTGTCTAGATGTCTCAGTAACAGCATCAACACTGCTATAGGATGCAAGGTTGGATTAGAAAAATACATTTCTGTGTTTCTAATGCATTTATAAGATTATCTCTTTGTTGCTTTGTATGTCCCTCCCCCACAGTATAACCCCTGCTTGCACTATATTTGATGTCAGTATAACTTGTGGAGGAGA